TGCCCTGCAGATAATTTCATTTAAACAAATGAAAAGTAGAAGAAAAAGAATATAATACATTGACTTTAGATCTGATGCTAGCTTTGTTTTAAATAACTGGCATTTAAAATCAGTATATGGGCAGTATTTGATTACATATACCTTTCTCTTAAAATATATATTTTATATTCCCCAAAACAGTTAATAAATGGAAATGGGTATAACTGTAGTATCTTGTATAGAGTAGTGAGCTCTCTGGTTTAGGAACACTTTCTGGGCGATTGAGTTTGCATTATATTCAAGTTTTGGGAGAGTAGCTATACGATGCAATATAATTCAAGAAAATGATAGTTGTTTTTGAAGCACCATTTAAAAGAACAGCACAGTTAGCAAGCTACCATTCACAATGTTTATTTCCATCAAGTAAAATTTCTGAGAGTCCTTATGGGTAGCCTGTCTGGAAGATCACACCTTTACCATGTACAATTTGGTTGTGTGGACCACTGAGGACTCACATGAACATGGTTATATTTTGAACTCCCAGGAATGAGCCTTTTAAGAGGAATAAACATCTGCATTTATGCTGAAAGAACAAGATATTATTGGGTCTGGGGTTGAAATGAAAGCATTTAACTTTTTCAGAAAGGCATTGAATTTGTAGATGCTAAAGCTCTCGTGTTGGACTCCTGGTGTGGTGCTGTAGGATCAGCACTGGGCTACAAGCCACAAGGTTAGTAGTTCAAATCCACCAGCTGCTCCTCGGAAACTGTATGTGGATTGTTATGAATTGGAACTGACTCAAAGGTACTTAACAACAACAACAAGGCTCTCATGTTAAGCATTGGATTGCTAACTACGAGGTCTGTATTTCAAACCTTCCAGCTGCTCTGTGTGAGAAAGATGAGGCTGTTTGCTCTCGTGAAGACTTACAGTCTCGGAAACTCTAAGGAACAGTTCTACTGTATCCCACAGGAATCAAGTCAATAGTAATGGGTAAGGGTCTCATTGTCAGAATAGTCTCTGAGATGATTCTTTTAACTGAGCAGAGGAAGAATTCAGAAAGACCAGAGAAACGGTATTGCAGGTTTGGGGAGTTTATGGTGCCCATTTCCAAGGTCCTAGTTTATTCACCTAAATATGAAGCTATTAGAATAAATGATACTTAGGGTCCCTTCCCAGGGAGCTCTGGTAGCATAGTGGTTACAAATCGGGTTGCGAACCTTAAGGTCAGAGGTTCGAAACTACCAGCCGCTCTGCAGGAGAAAGATGAGGCTTTCTACTTCCGTAAAGATTTACAGCCTCGGAAACCCTGTACAGGGTCGTTATGGGTCGGAGCCGACTCAACGGCACTTAACAACAACAAGGGTCCCTTCCTGGGCTCCTGGTGTAGTGCTGTAGGATCAGCACTGGATTGCAAACCACACGGTTGGCAGTTCAATCCCACCAGCTGCTCCTCGGAAACCCTATATAGGTTTGCTATGAGTTGGAACTGACACAATGGCACTTAACAACAACAGTAGGGTCCCTTCCAGCTTCGTAGCCATTGCTCTTGAAGGCAGGCTATATTTGGTTGGGGGAAAACCTAAGGTAACATTAGAGGCAAAGGGAAAAAATAATTCAAGGATTGGAAAAGAGCAATTATGAGATACATACAATGGGAATAAACATTAGTTCTCTAATATATGTTGTAGTTGTTAAGAACCATCGAGTAGGTTCTAACGCATAGGGACTTTGTATAGGGTTTCTAAGGAGGAGCTAGTGAGCTTGAACCACTGACCTTGCGGTTCAAACTAACTTTGCAGTCCAGCACATTAACCCATAGTGCCACACCAGGACCCAATATGTGTTGGGTTCCCTATAACATCTGGAGACTTGCTATTCTCCTATCCTCAATGAGAAAGGGAATAAAATAGAATGGGATGAGGTTCTTGATTTTGTTGTAGACTTTTCTTTCCAAAGGGAAAATAGGTTGTCATCTATCTAAGTTGGATGCATTGGGTACATTCTGTCTGGAACAGAGGCCTAACTTACTGAATACTCTAGGCTGCTCCTACATTGTCCAGTGAGTATTTATGTTGATAATATACTTATGCCTAAGGAGCTCTAGTAGCATAGTGGTTACGAATCGGGCTGCTAACCTAAGGATCAGCAGTTTGAAACTACCAGCTGTTCCATGGGAGGAAGAGGAGGCTTTCTGCTCCCGTAAAGATTTACAGCCTCGGAAACCCTGTACAGGGTTGCTATGAGTCGGAACCGACTCCATGGCACATAACAGCAACAACAGTGGAGTAGAAGACCATCAGTTCAGTCTGTGTTTCCAAATAAGTTGCTAATTTTCCTGGCTAGACTAGTATACTGTGTCATTGCGGGATTCCTTATACTTAGAGTGTTTTCATATTATGTTGCTTTTCTGGATTTGCAGTGTAGAGAAGAAACTTAGGCATTATGCTTCCTTTAAAAAAAATTTTAAGTCATGTTCAGACCTTAATAAGGGGTTTGCCCCTGTTTCCTGGGTATCATGAAAGACTCAGTCACTGATAGGGGCAGATTCTGGTTGTTATGTATTTGCTTTCTGTTGCTCTGGCTTCATGAAAAAATTATACTTTCTAAGGCTCTGGAAGACTATTCCTGTGATCAATATTTTTATACTACAACTCCCTTTTTATAAAGTGAAAATATTTTGTAATAAAGAATGATTCTATTAACTGAACAGTTCATATATTGCCAAGAATAATTCTATTAATTGAACATTTTGTACATTACCACCTGGAAAAGTGACTTTCTGAATACAGTTTTGGCACAAGCAATCAATTTCCATGTGACTGTAGTTCCTCAGGGACCCAAACTCTCGCATCATTAGCCAGCAGAAGCCTCTTGGCTAATCTTAATGATAATGTTATACACATATCTGAATGATCACCGTGAGCAAGAGAAACACACATTTCATAAGGACCCAGTATCTCTGGATACCTTTGAGTACTCTCCATTTCTTACCTCTCTCCCTATGTTGATACAAAACCATCTTAGCACCAACAACATTCTGACCTTGCATGGATCCTTTAGAGTTTTATGGTGAATAACCTCATGTATACATCCAGCTGTTTTTTTTTTCAAAATGATACAGTTTCACTTACATTCCCAGCATACATTCTTGATTGCCTGGACTTGGGCAGCAGCTCTGGGAAGCCCCTTTGTTTCTAAAGCTGAACAAAAGAGAGAAATGACCTCTTTCTTTCTCATCCAAATGCAAAGGATGTTTGCTTACGTGTGGGGGTGTGGAAGCAACATTACAATGTGACTTTAGGATTTCAGGGTTTCTGAATTTACTCAGGGAAGAAACATTTGTACTTTCAGTAACTGTTTCCTAGTGGCCAGGTTCTTCTGTGTCTGTATAGTGCATGATTGAGCAAGCACTCTTAGCCTGTCAGTCTTTCCTCTCTACGCTGGGGGAAGGACTGTCCAGTTACATTTTGTACATTGTTGGAGAAATTGGAGCACTAATATGATTGCTCACCCGGTGATGCTGAGCTATTTGGAAGAATCCTTTGTAGTTTACTCCAGGCAAAATTGTGAAATCGTCATTTGTCTCTATCATTTCCAGGCTCCCATTCCCCTCTTGTGATTCCACTCCCCTTCCCCTTGATCCTTCTGGCCATTAATTTCTCATGCTAAAGATGATTTGAAAATGGCTTAAAATGTGGTCCCCTCCAGGTACATTTGTGCTTTAGAGGACTTTAAAAATTAAATCAGTGATTCTCTAAGGATAGTGTTTCCAACAGTTGCAGGCTGGCAGGAAAGAGCATTTTGGAGTGGGCCATTACATTACCCTGGAATTGTTAAATTCACACTGCCTTTCAGTTGATTCTCAGCTGAGAACAACATTGTGCCACTGACAGAAGAGCTCTTCCAACATTTTCTGAAGTGTGTTCCATGGGATGTTGCCTGGTTATACCGGGGTCAAATATTTTTAAGAAATGCTTTAAATAGCAAAGTTTAGCATTTTTATGTTTTGTTTTTACTACAGCGGTTCTCAGAAGCTTTAACGTGCTGTTGGCATTACAGATTTCCAAGGGGTATGGAATCAACAACAACAATGGAGTCCTGGAGTGGCACTTAGCATAAAGCACTGGGTCCCAAGGTCAGTTTGAACTGTAAGGTCAGCAGTTCAAACTCACTAGCTGCTCCTCAGAAATCCTATACAAGGTGGCTAGGAGTCGGAAGCACCGACTTGATGGCACTTAACAACACCACCACTTAGGATATAACATTTTCCATCTCATTCCATGTTTCTCTTTTTAAATTTTGAGACATTTTCAGCACCTGTGTGACAGAAAACATACAGTACAGAACAATCTAGTCAAACCCTGTAGTCTAATGAGTAAACTGAGACAGGGAGCAATAAATTGAGCAACGCTTTGCTCAAGGTGATCTGTTGAACTGATGAATCCAGATTGTTGTTGTCATTGCTGTTATGTGTCGCAGAGTCAGTTACCACTCATAGGGAGCCTGTTTACTTTCTAAGGAGTGGCAGCTGGGTTTGAACTGCTGACCCATTAAGTTATCATTTCAATGTTTAGCCTACATTGACACACCAGGACTCCTAGTCAAGATTGTTGTTGTTAAGTGTTGTTGAGTCAGTTCCAACTCATACAACACTGTATAGGGTTTCCAAGGAGTGGCTGGTGGGTTTGAACTGACCTTATGGTTAGCAGTCCGGTGCTTATCCTACAGTGTCACACTGGGACCCTTGTACAGATGAGGTTTTCTGACTTTACAACATGATCAGAAATCATAATTTCAGCTAGGTATTTAATGTCTTTCTTCCCTATGTGAACCACCAAACAGAAATGGACTTTTCTGGTCACTGTTGTATCCCCAGTATCTAGCACAGTACCTAGAATCAAGATTTTTCATGGTGACAGGTGTTGCCTATTCTTGTCTGTGTCCATTGTTTCCCTGTCCCACCTGGTCCTTATTACAGTGTTATTTATGAAGGAATGAGTGATGAGTTTTATACTTACACTGAGAATACGTGGTCCCAGTTCCACTGACACTGAATCTGTTGAGGTGTAGTCTATGTGTGACCACGTTCTTCTGGGGTTGGAACAGGATGATATGCACCTTGGGTGCAAACAAACAGCCCAGAACCACGAAGCCACTCAGACTGACGGAGATACACATGGTGGTTGTCTGCACCTACAAGAAAAGATCACCTAATAAGTGCCTTCTTGTAAATTCAAGACAGTGTCTAACTGAAGAGGCATCGAAATAAGACCAAACCTGGACAAACAGCATCATCCACAGCTCGGTTCCTAGTACAGTCAAGCTGATGTAGCAATTATGTCGGGTTGTCTGAGTTTGGGTGTTCATGGAAACATTACTTAGGATTTGTAAGCAAACATTATTTGTGTGGAGCATTCTTGAGTGCCTGCCAAGACTTCACATGGCTTTTCTTGTTTTATTTTTTTCTTTATTTTTGTATAGAGAAATTTCTGCAGAACCACTGATGACAGAATCCTAAATAGTAAGACCTAAATGTTCAGTGATGAAGTGGAGAGACTGCTAGCGTTTTCAGACAGTGAACTCGGCCTTTTCCATTTTCCATCCTTCTTTCTTTCTAGGAGCTCTATCAGATACTCGTTTACCTCCTTACATTTGGGGACACTACCCACTTTCTTTTGGGACACCTTCTCTTTTCATTATTTCATTGGCCACTCTCAGGAAGTCTGACTCATCTGATACTGATTGTTCAATCTTTTTGTTCTCTAAATATCTACAGACCCATCCCTGGCAGGGTGTTTTCCTTTTCTCCCTCTTTACTATTCCTAAGACAATACTTTGGAACTATAAACTTCTAAGCCTATTGCTCTCATTCTCCATCTTCTCTGATCTCATCATTTGTCCTGGCTTCAGTACCCATAGATTTCCTGGAATATCCTACATTGCTGTTGTTGTTAAGTGTCTTCGAGTCAGTTCCGACATAGAGCAACCATGTATAGAATTTTCGAGGAACAGCTGGTGGGTTTGAACCGCTGATCTTGAGGGTCAGTGCTTGTACTACAGTCCCACACCAGGACTCCATAGACTTGCTGAAATATTCCAGATTAGATGTTATATCTTTTGTCAGTTTTGATACTTAAAAATAAAAATTACATCTATCAGTTTTGTGAAAATTTGTCATAGTTTTACTTACAAACACTTTGGAATCAAAAGCAATTTTAGATTTCTTTTCCAATTTCCCCCAGACAATGCTATTATCCAATGTTGTTGTTGTTGTTGTTGTTGTTAAATGCTGTTGAGTCGGTTCCGACCCATTGTAATCCTGTATAGGGCTTCCAAGGAGCAAACATTTGGAGTCCTGGTGTGGCACTGTGGGTTAATGCGCCAGACTGCAAAGCCGTTTGAACTGTAAGGTAGCCGGTTCAAGCTCACCAGCTGCTCCTCAGAAACCCTATACAGGGTCGCTATGGGTTGGAATCGACTCGACGGCACTTAACAATAACAACAATTGGTTAATAGGAGTCCTGGTATGTCGCTATGGGTTAATGCACCAGATGCAAAGCCTTTTAAACTGCAAGGTCCGCGGTTCAAGTTCACCAGCTGCTCCTCGGAAACCCTATATAGGGTAGCTGTGAATTGGAACCAACTAGACTACAATAATGATTATAAATTTAGGAGCCTTGATGTGGCAATGTAGGATAAGTGCCGGATTGTTAACTTCAAGGTTGGCAGTTCAAACCTACCACCACTCCTAAGGAGAAAGATGAGGCTTTTGGCACCCATAAAGATTTAGAGCCTTGGAAACCCTACAGAGGGTTGCTATGAGTTGGAATGAATTCAATGAATGAGTGGTTATAATTTTGGAAGGAGCCCTAGTGGCTCTTTAGAGTAAGCACTGATGGCTAACTGCAAGGTTGACAGTTCAAACCTACCAGCTGCTCCATGGGCGAAAGACAAGGATTTCTACTCTCATGATGATTTACAGCCATAGAAATCCTATACAGGGTCTTTATGAGTCAGAATCGAGTCCACAGCACATAACCACCACCGGTGTAGCCTTGGAGTCCTGGTATGGCTCTGTGAGTTAATGTGCTGGATTGCAAAGTTGGTTTGAACAGCAAGGTCAGTGGTTCAAGCTCACCAGCTGCTCCTCAGAAACCCTATACCGGATGTTGTGTCGGAACTGACTTGACAGCACTTAACAACAACAATAACAACAAGTATAGCACTGTAGGATAAGGACTAACCAAAAAGCTGGCAGTTCAAACCCACCAACCACTCCTCAAAAGCCCATAGGGTCAGTATAAGTCATACCTGATTTGATGTCATTTAACAAAAATAATGTTGCTAATGTCCAGATATTTATTATTCTGAATTATCCTCCAGACTTCCAGACTTATGTATTCAACCATCACCATGACATATTCTTCTGAATTCATGATAGGTATTTCGGATTTAATATGTAAGAAAACTTGATCCTTTACCCCAAGTGTTCCCATTTGAGTAAATATACAAACTGCCACTCCATTGTGTAAGCCAAAAGCCTGAGAGTCATCCCTGATTTTGCCCTTTCCTTTATACCCACACATCTAATCCAAGAGTAAACGTTGTGTTCTTACACTTTCTTCTCGTTTTCTCTGGGCTTCTCATAGTCGTACATCTCTCACAAGCAGCTCTGACTGACTTTATTCTGGTGTTTTCTTTCATGAATGTTTGTATAGCAAAGGGCCTTAAAAGACCTAGTGTATGTACCCCTCTGGAACAAAGCACTGTTTATTTACAGTTTTGGAAGTTAATTTGTCCATCTTGTGCAAAGGGTTTAAAAGTATAAAAGACTCAGGTTATGCAGCCCTACTGTGTGCAGGGGTCAGACCCACCTTGCACAACCCCATAGACAGAAGTTCAGGGGACCACTGAAAAGTCTGACACTCTGGCTACTACTATTGCTGTGAATCTGAAAGTCCTGTGTTGTTAGCATCAGTAAAATGATGGCAAATTAGTTGGTTAGCTTGCAAATAAAGTGAAATCTCAAACTCTACAGCTCTTGACAGTTCGGGTAGTGAGGATGAGGTGCTGACAAATACAGGATTTTCTCAAAGAGAAGTATGAGGCTTCACAGGGTGATTAGGAGTTGAGGGAAGTCCAGAGCAAGCAGTGGAAACATGTTAGTGAAATTGTATGGTCAACCAGGAAGTGCTCTACTTTATTGTTTACTGTTGTTGTTGTTGTGAAATGCCATCGAGTTGGTTCTCACCCATAGCTACCCTGTATAGGGTTTCTGAGGAGTGGCTGGTGAACCTGAATCCCTGACCTTGCAGTTCAAACCGACTTTACAGTCCAGCGCAGTAACCCACAGCACCCACCAGGATTTCTTATTGTTTACGATTGAAGTGGAATTGGGGAGGTAGTTTCAGGCTGAGTAACAGGAAGTGGATTCAAATAGAGTGTTAGAATGGCACACTGATTGTTGCTAATGGTCTTTCCTTTGAGGGGTTGGTGTGAGGTATCCTATCGGTGGAGTGAAATTGTTCTTCAACCGATTCAGGTTCATTTGCACAACAGTTAGAGATTTGTACCTACAATGAGCATGGAATCAGAAACAGAGCATAAAACTAAGTCAGAAACCAGGAGAATAACTTGAGATTTGGCTACTTCCTTTGAGAACTGAGGGGTAGGGTGCATAATGCTCATTTAAGAAAGAAAGACAACAATTGGGCCTTCATGCTTTTTGTAGGTGCCTGAAATAGCTTCAATTGTTCTAGGCTCTTCTTCAAATCCATCAGATCAAGGATAGATACGTTTGTGGTATACTAGGAAGGGTATAGATTTGGATCAAAAAAACTTGTCCTGTTATTTATTTACCGTGCCACCAGGGAAGTTAATTATCCTCTGAGTTTGTTTACTCTTCTCTCCTATCCTATTTTCTGCTGTTAATGAGGATAACTGAGATCAGGTATTCAAAGTTTCTAACAGAATAAGGTCTCAAAAATATTGATCAAGAAAGGTTATTTCTCTTTTTTTTCCCCTCTTATCTTTCGTCATGTCAGTTTTTGCCTAAGCAAAAGAAAACTAACAAAAATTTCCAAGATCTAGAAGCTCTTAAACATTATCTGGATGTATTCACTCTGCCTGGTTACAAGAGTATAATCATCTGGCCTACTTTCTAATGCTCATTTCAAACTGGACCCTCACCACTCTCAAATCATCTACCACAGAGAAAGACCCATCACTGTCTTCTGATTGCTTCAATCCTATTTTGAGTCAGGAATGTTTTCTATTGCCTCAGACGCCTTTCTCTTTGTTCCCTGTTGTTGCTGTTATTAGGTAGTGTTGAGTTGGTTGACTTGTAGCGATCCTATGTATAATACTGGAAAATAATGCCCGTCCTGTGTCATCCTCACAATCATACTTATGCCTGAGCCCACTGTTGTAGCCACTGTGTCCATCTATCTCACTAAGGGTCTTTTTTGTTGATGACCTTCTACTTTACCAAGCATGGTGTCCTTCTCCAGGGACTTAATCCTCTTGACAACATGTCCACAGTATGTGAGATGAAATGTCTCCATCCATGCCTCCAAACTGCATTTTGACTGTTGTCTTCTAAGACAAATTTGTTCATTTTCCTGACAGTCCATGGCATATTCATGAATGTCGTAATTCAAATGCATCATTTATTCTTTTCCTTAGTCATTGTCCTTTAATCTCTAATTACCATAATTGTACCTGCCCATAGTCAAGGTAAAAGTGCCACATTTTAAGGAAACATTCCTAAAAAGAGCAAGCTTTTACCAATTTAACTTTTCTTTGTAACTTAGGCATTTAAAGTCTGTATCACCAATTTAATTATAAACAATCCTGTGTTAATCTTGAATTCTTTCATGCTTGAATTTTTTCCTCCTGCTGAGATATAAGCTTCTTGAAGACTGGAATAGTGCCTTATATTTATTTATAACTCACAATGGGTGGCAAAGTACTGAACCATAAACCTTCTTGACTGTTTGATGCCTAAATTCCTTCCAGCAGCTCTTGAATTATGGGGTACTTTTCTAGTGCTGTTGATTCTGTTTGCACTACCTGGTTTCCCTCTGGGAAATTTCAAATCCCAGACTTGTTCTGGATATACATAAGTCTTTCAGAACAAGGGCCCTAAGTTCAAATGCCTATAGAAACCACACAGGTTCATAAGCTAAAGGAGT